TTCTCCAGTCTGGCATTTCATGGGTCACTTAATTCTTTTCCAGTCATGATCACCATCCTATATAACCTTGTCTGTTTCCTGGAGTAGCAAGGAATGGTCAAATGAGCAACAGAAAAAAACTGCTCTTAAAATGTGTTATAAACTCAGTTTAGTTTAATGCATCAAATGCTAGAGTATTATATATAATTTTAGCACAGTCCACTTTTTAGAAGACTCTTGCTGAGTCTTAGCCTTCTTTAGTGATCTCCCAATCAATATGACCCTCACTTCATGTTCAAAACATACTGAAGAAGAAAAGAAAAGGCAGCTGTCTGTTATGTTATACAGGATTTATTTGGTATCTTCAAAAACCAATCTGAGAAAATTTTCCACTCACTGATTTTAGCTGAGCCACCAAGAAAACAAGAAAATCCTTCTGCAAAATTCTCAATAAACTGACATTATCTAAAGACCTGAAGCGTGAAACCTGGATTACAACAGCCGACCAAAAAAATAGAATGCAATGTCTACAAAAACTAAGTAAAAACATAAAAAGTGTAACAACAGAATATTTATTTAAGGTATTTTGGTAATTTGACAATGCATAAATAATGTACATATGCAATGATAAAGATAATTCTAAATTATACTGTTAAATTAAGAATGAAAGTGTTAAGCTCTTAATTCTATTTGTAATAAATATTTATATAGTTTGTAGATTTTTTTACGTCTTTCTTACCAATAATGACTCAGTTATTTTTTGCATACACTATAAAATTAAATTTTTTAAAATAATACACAGATTGAAAGTTCTAAAGGTCTGTGACTGACTGAAAAACTTCAGATTTAATTACATGGAAATTTTGACATAGTAATGATTTGAGTACAAAGAATTAAATATGATTCATGTAGTAATATCTTCACTTTATTGCAAAAAAACCCAAAAAGTAGGGTGTTTTCCCCCCATTTATTTTAGACATTTAGATTCACTCTGTTAGATAGCAAACATGACCACAAATTATTCTCCCTCCTAATGTCACCATTTGCAAAAAGCATTAGTTGCTTCAAGAGGTAGAGTTTATTTATCCACTTACTGAATTTGTGCCAGTTCCCGACTTGCTTTAGCCAATGAAACAACAGCAAACAGTATACAGAGACTTGAAAAGTTTTACATTGGGGCTTGCCATTCTGCTGGTATTAGAACTCCCTAGTCACTATGTGAACAAGAACTTGAGCAATCACATGGAGAGAGACCCCAGTCAATACAACTGAGACCACTGTGAACTGCCAGCCTCAGCCAATCTACCTGTTAACCACAGATGCATAACTAAACCTAACCAAGATAAGTCAACCATGGTGCAGATGAGAAAAAAAAAACAACCTACCCAGCTGAGCCTAACCCAAAATGCCATCCTGCAAAACAGTGAACTAAATATATAATGGTTGTTTTAAACCACTAAGTTTGGGGTGATATTTGACAGAGCAATAAACAGATAACTGATGTAATTGTCTAGCTTTTTACTGTTTACAGAACATTTACTGTATCATACATGAGCACCACTGTGAAGAAAATGTAATCAGATATCAGCCTTTGGACAAGGATCATTATTCTACAAAAAGGCCTTTCTGGAGTCTTCTTCTAACTAGGTAATAAGAATAGCCAAGAGGACGTTTCAGAGGGCAGATAGCAATGAACATGGAATCTTAATAGTTAATCTATTTAAAAAGTTAAAGACCACATCCTGAAAGTAAACTACATATTTTTTACTTAACTTTTTTAGGCAAAATGATTTGAGAATTCCTTAAGGTTCAAATGCTATATTAGTGATTATGGTCTGAGAAATTATTTGAGTTTTTTTAGCCTACCTAGAAATTTACTATGGTAAAATATGGTACAAGAAAACTTGAACTGTTCAATATCCGATCTTCCCAGAAATGTTTAGTTTCAAAGATCTGACTAAAAAAAATACAGTATCTCTTAGTATCTACCACCAACAAACATTACCAAAAAGGCTGAAGATTATTATACTATGGTTAACATGTTATAATTTGTTTGGCTTATATCACAACAGAAAAATAATGTTGACAGGCTAATAATATATATGAGGTGAATCTTTAAGCAAAAGTTGGAGTATCTGGTCTATATATATATATAAAAGCCTAAGTGACTGTCCAACTGTTCGACCAGTAGCTATGATGCGTACTGACCACCAGGAGGCATATGCTCCAACCAGTAGATTAATTTGCTGCTGGGGTTCGGCAGATCAGGACTGGGTGAGATGGGTCGGACACACCTGGAGCCCTCCCACGGTCCCTCCCTGGCCCTGATCGTGCACAGTGGGGTCCCGGATGCGAGAGGGCACAGGCCATGCCAAGGGACCCCACCAGTGAATGAATCCATGCACCAGGCCTCTAGTCCTATATAATAAAAGCCTAATATGCAAATTGTCCCTACGGGCAGGAGTTTGATCGATGGGGAGTTGGACGTGCACTGACCACCAGGGGGTGGTGCAGAGCATGGCGGGCGTTGGCAATGCAGCACTGGCAGCATGCGGCAGTGGAGGTGATGCCAGCTCCAATGAGCCCTGATGAGAGCGAGACCGCAGCAGAACGGTGGAGCAGGTGAGCAGGCAGCACCAGGCCAAGGCGGCTGTGAGGGGAGGCCCTGGCCAGCGGCGGCGACAGGCAGCTGCGGAAAGGAGGCCCCAGTTGGAAGCCAGCAGTACTGGGCCTCTAGTTGTATAATAATTTGACTGGACTCTGTCCATGGCTTATAGAAGGAAGCTGGGCTCCTCAGACCTGACCTGAGTTTGTACTAATGAGGTGACTCAGAGTGGGCCCCTAGACAGTTTAAGGATGGGAGCTAGCCATATAGAAAATATGAACCATGAAATTAGAGGATTGGGGCTTTGAGCCATAGATATCAGCCTGACCTCAAAACTGGGGAAGGAAGAGAGGCTAGAAATTGCATTTAATCAAGTGGTAAATTATTTAATCATTCCTATATATGAAACCACTACAAAACCTCTGAATGCTCAAAGTTTGAGTGAGCTTTCTCGTTGGTGATACACACTGAGGTGCTGAAGGGTGATGGATCCTGAGGAATAGTTTACACTTAGGATCTCCCAGACCTTGCCCTATTTCATTTGGCTGCTCCAGATTGTATCCTTTATAATAAAACTGTATAGTGCTTTCCTGAGTTCTGTCAGTCATTCTAGCAAATTGTAAGGGGGAAGTGGCAATGTATATAGCCAGTTGGTCCGAAGTGTGGGTGGCCTGGAAACCCTGGAGATTGCAGCTAGAGACTAAGGTGAGGGAAGTGTTGTGCAGGACTGTGCCTTAACCTGTAAAATCTGGCCTAACTCCAGGTAGTGTGAGAATTGCGTTGCACATGGGGAAAGCAACTAAACACCAAAGAGATAAGAAAATCAGATAATATGCATATATGGACACAGACAATAGAGTGGTAAAGGCCTAGGAGGGGCTGGTGTGGGGTGGAGAGAAAAAAAAAAGGGAAAATAAATATAAATAAAAGCTGAAGGATAAAATAATAAAAAAAGAAAAGCAGAGAGAAGACAAGTTAATAGACAACAGAAGTGATAGTCATGATTAGGAATAATCACAGAAGCAGTCACCCATGGAATAAAAAATGAAAAAAAGCCCTCCTTGGCTCAGTGTTTGAGCATCGACCAATGAACCAGGAGGTCACGGTTTGATTCCCAGTCAGGGTACATGCCCGGGTTGTGGGCTCAATCCCCAGTGTGGGACATGCAGGAGGGAGCCGATAGGTGATTCTCTCTCATCATTGATGTTTCTCTCTCTCTCTTCCTCTCCCTTCCTCTCTCTGAAATCAATAAAAATATATTTTAAAAAAATGAAAAAAGAAAAACCACACACACACACAAAAGACAGTATTAAAGGCAAAAGAGACAATTAGAGGTGATAATGGAAGAATTGATAGGGACAACACAAATGGGGTAAGGGAGTTAAGATGACAAGCTAGTTAATAGTCTGGGAACTCATTAATTCATTAAAAACTACCTATTAATTGCCTGCTACATGTTAGACACTGTGCCAGGTACTAAGGATATGTGGTGAACAAGAAAAACATAGCTTCCACTCTCATGAGGTTTACATTGTAGAGGGAAAGATAAATGTTAAATTGTGTAATTGTTATTGTGATACTTGCTACAAAGGATAAGGATATAATTAAATAAGGCTTTAATAAACAGATCAGTAATAAGTTAAATCTATAGTCCTAACACTTATACACCTTTATCTTCATTTGCAAATATTATCTACCAAAGTAGTACGGAATAATGTGCATTTTATTTTTTTTTATTTTTAATTATAATTGATGTACAATTTTATTAGTTTCAGGTATACAACACAGTGACATTTATATATCTTATGTATCTTTAATGACATTTATATGTTATCTTATATATACATATCTTATATATATCTTATATATCTTATCTAGTAACCATCTATCACCATAGTTATTATGATATTATTGAATCTATTCCCTTTGCTGAATGATACTAATTTTAAAGGGGTTTCATCAATAACAAAAAATTCAGATGAAATACTTACCTCACCTTCTACTAAAAATATTACATTCCCTTAGCTATCTAATACTTAAATATTTCCCATATTTCTTTGTCAAATTAAGGTTCACCTTAACATACAGTTATAACCCCACCCAAATTTTAAAGTCATACACTTCCTAAAAAACAAACAACTACAACAAAAAACCACCAAAAAAATTTGAGCTGTCAAAAAAAACCCACCTCAAACAAAATAAGGATCAAATCATCAGATATGACACCCTGACTTCTAAGCAAAAAAGACTTCGGATATGCATTTCATCAAGATTCAGAGGTCAATTTCTACTAAATGTTGCTAATGATCAGTTTTGAGATTTTTAGAAAAGATGGATTAATTCTGAAGTTTTTGATATAAAATTCCCTAAGAACTCTTTCCAAACAATAGTTAATTGGATAACTAGAGTTTCTTACCTGTAGTCATCTAACCGTACCAGAAACCGTACAATATCATGATGAGCTTTCAGTACAAGCAGTTCAGTGTAGGGGTTCTGGGTTTGTTCTTCACCTATTGTCTGTAAAGCAGATTTCTTGTATTGGAAAAAAAAGCCAAAACAAAAGAGAAAGAGATAAAATGATTTATGATAAAAGGCATACTGCAGTAAAACTGCATGGTATACAACTAAAAATATAAGACTTAAAAACATGTTCTCATACTACATAAAGGGTAGGGCAAAAGTAGGTTTACAGTTGTTGGTATGGAAAATAATCCTATCTAATAAAAGAGAAACATGGTAATTGGTGTACGACCGCTACCCTTCCCATTGGCTAATCAACGAGATATGCAAATTAACTGCCAGCCAAGATGGCGGCCGGCAGCCAGGCAGCTTGAAACTAACATGAGGCTTGCTTGCTTCAGTGACGGAGGACTCCAACGTTCCCCGCCTGCCTTGCTGGCCTCTGAGCTTGCAGTTTAAGAAACATTGTAACAAATATAGAAGCTAAACAAAACCCCAGAAACCTGCTTTCAGCGAGCCCGGGATCTCAGAGCTGGAGTTATACATTGTTTCGATTATAGGACCGAAACAACCAGATACCTTCTTTCAGCAGCAGAGGCCTCAGAGCTGGAGCCAGAGCTAAAGCTGGCCCAGAATAAAAAAGAAAAAAAGGAGCAGTTGGGAGCTTCAGTCAGCCTGAAAACAGCCCTCAGCCCCTCACCCAGACTGGCCAGGCACCCCAGTGGGGACCCCCACCCTGAAGGGTGTGTGACCAGCTGCAAACAGCCATCATCCCCTCACCCAGGCTGGCCAGGCACCCCAGTGAGGACCCCCACCCTGATCCGGGACACCCTTCAGGGCAAACCAGCCAGCCCCACCCATGCACCAGGCCTCTATCCTATATAGAAAAAGCGTAATATGCCTCCCAGCACCGGGATCAGCGTGACAGGGGGCAGTGCCCAAACCCCCTGATCGCCCTGTGGCTCTGTGTGTGACAGGGGGCGGGGCCACAACCTCCCTATCCGCCCTGCTCTGTTCGTGACAGGGGAAGGCGCCCCAACCCCCTGATCAGCCCTGCTCTGTGCCTGATAGGGGGGGAGCTCCCAAGCCCCTGATCGCCCTGCAGCTCTGTGTGTGACAGGGGGCGGCGTCTCAACCCCCTGACCGGCCCTGCTCGCTGGGTGATAAAGGGCGGCGCTCCAACCCCCTGATCCACCCTGTCCTGAGTGTGACAGGGGCCGGTGCCCCAACTCCCCTATCGGCCCTACTCTGTGAGTGACAGGGGGGAGCTCCTCAACCCCCTGATCGGCCCTGCTCTGTGAGTGACAGAGGGGAGCTCTCCAACCCCCTGATTGACCCTGCTCTGTGCGTGACAGGGTACGGAGCCCCAACCCCCCTGATGGGCCCTGCTCTGTGCGTGACAGGCGGTGGCGCCGCAACCTCCCCATTGACCCTGCCTTGAGTGTGACAGGGGGCGATGCCCCAACCCCCCAATCGGCCCTACCCTGAGCGTGACTGAGGGTGGCATCACAACCTCCCAATCTGCCCTGCTCTGTGCATGACAGGGGAAGGCGCCCCAACTCCCCACCAGGGGCTGCACCTAGGGATTGGGCCTGCCCTCTGCCACCCAGGAGCAGGCCTAAGCCAGCAGGGCGTTATCTCCCGAGGGGTCCCAGACTGCGAGAGGGCACAGGCCGGGCTGAGGGACCCCCCCTCCCCCCCGAGTGCACAAATTTTTGTGCACCAGGCCTCTAGTAAATAATAATACAAGAATAAACTCTGTGTTTCGTACACTCACAACTGTAAACCTACTTTTGCCCCACCCTGTATTATTTCCCCTAATATCAACTGACTGCCAATTTAACACAAAACATTTTTCTTACCACAAATCCACACCATAAATTTTTGTATTTTCAAGTCACAATAAATTTAGAAAAAGGGCAAAATTTATTTTATCAAATTATATTTCAATAAACCTGACCTAAAAAATTAATGGGCCAATCCAACTCAATATTTTAAAATGGGTGTTTCTCAATTGAAACTTGGCAGAAACAAAACTGTAGGTCAAAAGGGTAAAATATAAAACAGACTAAAGTAGGGCCTAAGCCCATTATAGGCACTCATTATATGTTTGCTGAATAAAACAATTAAATCATTTAGAGTCAATGAATTCAATGAAATCAACTTTGAAAAATAACATTGATAAAGATAATTACTAACATTTACAAAGTATTAGGTGGCATCCCATATGCCAAACACTGCAAAGCACATATAACTGGATAACTCTGTAAGGCAGGTCTTATTAACCCCATTTCTGTAGTCAAACCCACTACGATTTTAAAAAACCTCTGTTCTTACCCTCTAAACTGCAGTTTTTTAAAACTTGACACTATTGACATTTTGGACCAGATAATTCTTTGTTGTTAAGGGCTGTCCTGTACACTGTAGGATGCTCAACAGCATTCGTAGTTTCTACATATTAGATGTCAATAGAAATTCACCCCACCCCAAATTGTGACAATCAAGAATGACTATCAATCCCCAGAGGGAAAGTAGGGGAGGGTGGGGGTAAGGGGAAGAGATCAACCAAAGGACTTGTATGCATGCATATAAGCCAAACCAATGGACATGGACAACACGGGGATGAGAACATGGCGGGGAGGGGGGAGGTTGGGGGCTAATGGGGGGATGAGGACACATTTGTAATACCTTAACCAATAAAGAAATTAAAAAAAAAAAAAGAATGTCTCCAGACATTCCCAATGTCCCCTAATGGGCAAAATTATCCCAGCAGAGAAACACTGCTTAAATTAGAAGCTTAGATTCAAAGTTCTTGCATAAATTAGGGCAAATCATTGCTTCAGATAATGTACAAATTCACAGCAGTTATAAAACTGAAATACTTTTACATGAAGAAATATATAACTTAACATGCATGTTTCCAAAAAAATTCACCCCAAAGGAGTAATTTTTTTTATTTATTGCATCGCCCTTTTAGCAGTGAAAATCAAAAGTGAGAATTCTGAAAACTATATACTACTTTCCCCAAATGAAAGCTTGTCAGGTATCGCAGAATTAATTAATCAAATTCTATGATTCATCGAATAATGAGGCTTATACAGAATTGTCATATATATCCTATGTGGACTATTCAACTTTCCACAATTCTCCTATAATCTTTAGGATTTCAGCCTATCTTAAATACACCTAATTTCAAATAAGAAATGCTTTTTTAAAAAAATAGAGAATAAGCTTCAAGTGCAAAGATACGAGAAAGTTAAGACTGAGAAGATTTCTGGATTTACAACAATCCAAGTTTCCTATTTTTAGTAGTAAAAACATATTTTCTATGAGAAATAAAAGGGAATTCAGCACAAATTATATTCTTGGGTGGCATATGAAATAAATTCCAGACCTCAGTATTTTTAAGTTCCAAAACTTTTATATTCGCAACATTTCAAATATAAATCTCATTACAGTCTATTCAATTATTCAGTCCCATGAAGAAAGCGTTGACTGTGGAATCAAAAATATCAATTAATTGGGAAATCATTTTCTTGACTTTGAAGCAAAATATTAATTTAAAAAGTTAATTATATCTTTTTGGTTCATGTATAAAAACTCAAATCAACTTTATATTTCCTGAGCAATTTGGGGAAGTGACACCAAGTAAACGAAAAAATGTAAAGTTGCAGTCACCACTTGTTTCTAGTACGTAGGTCAGATACTTTTTTAAATGGATATGAGACTTAAGTAGGGAGACTAGCTGAGTCTCCTTGAGCCCGCTGTTGAACCACATCAGCTTCAGTTTTCTCACCTTTTGGCACAAAGATACTGTATTTAACTCAGGGTCTTAGGAGAATCAAAAGTACAAAGTAGCAGCAAAAAGGGGAGCCCCTCCCCCAACCCAACCTCCTCCACCCGAAACCTGGCCTCACAGCACGCAAGCCCCTCCTTCAACAGGGTCATTGTTCCTAGACTCAGGATCCCAGCTCCCACAGAAGCTTCCGCCGGGCAGGCAGGCTCCACCCAGGGGTTTACCTCTGCCAGTCCCTGAGGTTCTCGGCTTCCCCCGATCAGCCATCGCAACATCAGGGTAAGGCCTCTTGCCCGGCCCAGGTCACAGTCAGCCGAACTCTGCACTGGCCTCTACTTCCTCCTACTTCTCAGGAGCAGAGAGCAATGGAGCTGCTAACACTTTGCCGCCCCAGAAATGCCCACAGAACGTAGTAGTGCAAAGAAGAATCCACAGAAACAGGAAGATATTTGTCCCCCAGGCGCTGCCGTACCGCCACAGAGGCTTGGTTTGCGGTAGCCACTAGAGGAGCCGTAGCCCAAAGCTGGTGGGGTAGGGGCGAGGCTTCAAAGGCTCTAAGTGAGCAGGCGCAGGGGCGTTGCCCACTTGGCCCGCTGAGCTTGGGTAGCTTGAGCGGCCCCTGGTGGATGCGTATGGCACAGCACCTGAGTCCGGCGAGCAAGTGCTTTGACCAATTAACAGTCCCCTGGCATCCTTACTTGGCTGGGGGACCAAGAAACTCTTCAATAGTTGGCTGCAGAAGGGGCCTCCACATCCGGACTAACCCAATAATAAACCCGGCCAACACTTTGTGTACTGTAGTACAGATACTGTTCTGAGGCTTTACATAAATCCTCACAGTAGCCCTATAGTCCCTGTTTTATAAAGAAACAAACTCAGAAAGATTAGGTAGTTTGTCAAAGGCTAACAGCTAGGAAGTGGATACACTGAGATGGGTACCCAATCTCCAAACTCTAAAACTAGTGCTCTTGACTACCCTGTACTGTCTAACCCAGAATATCCCTAAAGAATAGAGGACATTTCATCACTCCATTTTGACTACTAGACTTTCTTAGGTAGTCAAAGGGCTACAGTTCTCTACTCTGGCTGCATATCATAATTACCCAATATGTATTTTGAAAAATATATATTCCTGGTTTCTACCTGGATTCATTAAAACAATCTTTATGGTTAGAACATAGGAATCAGCGTTTGGGGAAAATTCCTCAGGTGAGTCATGAGTAGCAAGGTTTCCAAATCACTGACTTAGGAACTACTTATAAATAGGCCTGTAAATGTTCATACATATATTTGTATATGTGATTGTTAGGTTCAAATCAGGATACTAGCAGTAAATTCTTAGAAAGAACCTAATACAAGTGTCCCAACCAATACATTAATTCAACAAACATGTATTGGCCACAGATGCATAGAGATGAAAAAAGTAATCACATAAAATTGCTACTTTTTGGATCAAGGCAGAATATGCTAGATACCAATAAGAGAAGGCCATACTTTCTACTTTAATGTATATTGGTTATGGGCAGTTTCCCAATCTGACAGTCCCTAGGGAACTGGGATCTCCTATGATTCATCTTTGTATTCATTTTGAATGCACTTGACAAAGGAATACTCCCAAGGGTCAGGAGAAGCTTGCCCCAAATTGCAGTCTGCATGCAGTTGAAGAAAGACTAAAAGAGTAGAGACTAGCCCAGCCGTGGGCAAACTACGGCCCGCAGGCCGGATCCAGCCCATTTGAAATGAATAAAACTAAAAAAAAAAAAAAGACCGTACCCTTTTATGTAATGATGTTTACTTTGAATTTATATTAGTTCACACAAACACTTCATCCATGCTTTTGTTCCAGCCCTCCAGTCCAGTTTAAGAACCCATTGTGGCCCTCGAGTCAAAAAGTTTGCCCACCCCTGGACTAGCCCCTGGACAAGGGGGATTCATCTTTAGTAAAACAAAACCCAAGAACATCAGGATTTTAGTCCTGGGAGGATAAACTTCAAGTGAGGGAACATGGTTGCCAGGTAGCCTAAATTTTATCCTGATTTTCCACATTATTTAGGGGTTTGCCCACTCCCTCATTACTCTGATCTAAGGAACACTCTTCTGGTCTTTAAATCACTGGTCCAGTGGTGAATAGTTTCTCCCTTGGTTCCTTTTAGGACAGCCGAGAAAGAACCTTATGTAAGATCATACTAGACCTCAGGGAAGCTAAAGGAGTAGGAAGCATCAGGAATCCATTCCTCCACCTAGATGACAATTATACTGTCAGAAACTGTGTGGACTATTTTGGAACTCTGAAGTCTATTTAAAAGCTTGCAGCTTGCAGGCGAAATCTTGGCTAGCACAGGTTCTGGCCAGCATTGTTGCAACCATAACTGACTGAAGCCGCTTCCAGGGAATTTAAAGAAATAGCATGTTTGGGGTTTTTTTTCCCTACTGCCTTTTTCCCCCTCTAAGGAGCCAGACATTTTAAGGATTAGGACATTCAAAAGCAAGCACATGTACAGAAGAATTTAGAAAGTAACCACACGTGCCCAGCAAAAGACACAGACTCAACTATGACCTAAGGAGACCTTTCACCTCAGACTAATCCCCACCACTGGGACACCTTTCAACAATCGAAAAATAAAGAAAATTAAAACCAGCAAATTCTGGGGAAGAGGGACTGAGAAAGAAAAAACAACTCAGCAATAAAAGTAATAAAAGGGTATATCACTACAGACCCTATAGACATTGAAATAATATTATAAATTATACATGAGTTTTAAGCTCAAATGGATAACATAAATAATTGTATAACAATTAACAAAATTGGATCCAGTTTAAAATGGTCTGTAAAAGAAACTTTCAGGCCTGGATGGCAATACTAATGAAAATCCCAGGAGGATTTCTTATAGATATACAATATGCTTCTAAAACTTATAAAAAGGACAAAGGAACTAGGATATACTGTGAGACACTGTGTTAGAAACCTAGAATACTACTCAAAACTTTAAAATTTTAAAAATAAATAAAATTATTTTAAAACCTTATAGTACCTGATCTCAAGGAACTTAGATTTTAGATTAACATTGAGAACATTTTTCATTTATAGAAGAAATAACTGAAGTATAACAGATGATCCCATACAAATTAGTATTGATTAAATGTAAGGGGTAAGTTCTAAAGAAATATGACTTTAAAATAATCATCAATGTTCTAGAGATTTGTTACACAATAATGTGAATGTACTTAACATTACTTAACTGTACATTTCATAATGGCTTACTTGGTAAATTTTATATTATGTCTAAAAACATTAAAATGGGGAGTGATGTAATTAGCATGGCAGACCAACAGTTTTTTATGGACTTCCCTCAAAGACCATTGATTTAAACAACCACCCATGGAGGAGAATGCCTTTGTGGAACTCTGGGAGTCCAGCAGAGAAGCCCCAACATACTATTGGAGCAAAAACATCCAAGATTAGATACATTCAACAGGGGAGGAAGAGCAGTTTCACTTTATCCACATCACCCCTCTCCCAAGGTAGAATAGCTCAGTGCCAAAAGAGATCTTCTTGGTCCATGATTACTTTCATGGGGAAAACTGAGATCATCTGAAGAATTCCCAGCTGCCTCAGCTGTGCAGGAAATCACCAAAGGGAACCACTTCTTTCTCACCCCATCCAGAATACTGAGATGTATGACACAACTGGGGAGTGGCTGGGAGAACAGCAGCCATGGCTCTCACAGGGCATCAAAGGAATATGGATCCCACTGACTGCTTCATGCACTGAATCAGGAAGCCCACCAATGAATTACAGGAAATGTGTAACCTATGGATCCCCCAAATTGGCCCATGGGCACTCCCAATGCTCTGCACACCTCACCCACACCCTACAGCTGGCTTTCTCTACATGCATGCCACTGATAGTGATGAGAGTGAGGCTTTGGAGACAGTTGGTGAGCATGTGCAAAAAGCCTGCTTGACTACAGAATTGGGAGAAAGCACTTAAACTTGAGCATTCAGCACTGTCCAAGAGAAAATAAACAGGAGGCTGACAACATATAGTCTGGCTTTGCAGGATCAAAAGAAAGCATACAATCTTCAGGTATCCCCCAACCCAAGAGGAAACAAAAAATGTGGAGCACAAGTATATGTAAGAAAAGATTAAAGAAAGCCTCAGAATCCCTAACAAGGCTGTCAGAAAGTATTTTTCTCTGAAGCCAGTCAGTAAAGCCTACAGGAGGGGACTCCTTCAAATAAATGCAAGGACAGCAACACAAGACTTCAAGGAACATGAAAAATGAAATATGACACCAGCAAAAGAACACAATAACCTTCCAGTAACTGACTACAAGAAATGAAGATTTTCTATTTATCCAATAAATAACTCAAAATAGTTGTTTTATGGACGGAAGTTCAATGAGCTACAAGAAAACACAGAAAGACAATTCAACAAAATCAGGAAAACAATACATGAACAAAATGAGAAATTTAACCAGGAAATAAAAATTATTATTATTTTTTAATCCAAACAAATTCTGGAGCTGAGGAGAAACCAAGATGGCGGCATAGGTAAACACCGGAAATTGCTGCCTCCCACAACAACTTCAAAAATACAATGAAAACACAAAACGGACATCATCCAGAACTACAGGAAGGCTGGCTGAGTGGAAATTCTACAACTAGAAGGAAAGAGAAGAGCACACTGAGATTCAGAGGAGGTGCGGAAATAAAGTGCAGAGGTACGGAGGCGCATGTGGCAAGGGCTGGCAACTGAGGACATGGCTGTCTTTTTGAATCGGGAGGGAGTCACAAGCCCCCGACTGCTCTGAACTCCAGTTCTGGGAAGTCTCTGGGGACCGAGACTCATACGGGGAGAAACTGGACTGTCTGGCAGCAGACAGAACTCGGAACTCGAGGGCGGCTTTCTCTCAGAGGTGCTTGCAGCGATTACTGGGACAATGAGAGACTCGGGAGCCTCTTAGGGCAGAACTGAGGATCAGCCATAGCTGTTTGCTCTGCCCTGTTGATTCCCTGAGACCCCGCCCCACCCAAGCTGCTGCACACAGAGGCTTTTGCATATGAATGCCCTGGCCCTTTGCAATCTGAAAATTACCTAACAAACTGCAGCTGGGCCAGACAGACCCAGAATTTCCAAGAGAAGGCCCAAGGCCCCACAGCAGCTTGCATTGCTTCACAGCTGGGCCTCATCTGGGCACCTCCAAACCCCAAACAAGGAAGGGGAATCTGCAGATCTCTTCATAGTTCCTGGTGGGTAGCCTCAGGCAGAGGCTAAATTAGCACCTCCTTAGATCCAAGAGCCAGTGTACCCAGTGGTCAGAATGGGACCATCCAGATTACAACTCCTCAGATCCATAAGAGACACACTCAGGGGACAGACTCAGTGAGCACCAAAGCCCTACTGAATCAAGTCTTGCCCCAGAAGGGTGTCTCCAGCAGAGAAGTTCTCCCACTGCAGACACAGCTGATTCTCACAGCCAATTGG